TACATAGAACTAGCAATAGTTAGAGACACCCAGGGCTCACCCCCTGGCGGCCTTTGCCCTGATCAGGGATAGTGGAAAACGTGCAAGTCACGAGCCACGGCCGTAAAATATACACACACACACACACCCGCATTTGAGCAATCTTATTCTTATCAACAATTACAAAAGAAGAACATGAAGCGCAAAGCTGCTCCAAACTTAACCGATACAGGGGAAAAAAGACCTCCCAGGCAAGATCCAGTGTCCTGTGAATCTTGCCGGCGGAAGAAGCTCAAATGCAATCGTCAGAGACCCTGCAGCAGCTGTGTTTCTCGAAGGTTGGCCTGCAGCTATGGCATATCGCTGGAGAGGATTGGACCTACGACAGTCCAAGTAGAAAATGCAATCCTCACTGACACAGTTCCATCAAGTCAAGGCCCCAGAAGCCAGCCCAGGGAGACCGGCGCCGTGACTGCTCGTTCGATCACGATTCCTCGATCAACGCGAACGAGTAATGAATCACTCAAAACAGCGGACTGGCTAGAAAATATCGTCATGGCAGATCGCCTTTCCACCGCGGTCTCGAGACATCTACCAGAGGAAGTGAGCCTGTCTGAAGCCGCTCATGACCCATCCAGGGACAATGGAGATTCGCGCCTCGGTGAAGTGATCTCGGATTTCTTTCGGCATCGATTGGCTTCAAGTGAAAATCCGATGACAGTCGATCTTGTGTCTTATCTTCCAGAGAAGTCGAAAACAATGGCATTGTTCAGATACTATTGTGATTACATCGACTATCTGTATCATGTCATCATTCCGTCGCGTGTCGAGGATCAGATCAATCGCATTTACCACTGCAGCGACAAAGGCCTGCCAGTCAATTTAGCCCAGTTAGCGCTCCTTTTCAGCATCTTGGCCAGCTCTGTTTGTTTCCAGTGTTCCAGTGGTCCGTCCACCTTCGCAGAGAGATGTAGCCGCGAGTTCACCTTCTTGGCTGGTGCTGCATTGATAAGAAGCAATTACATTGCACGTCCTACCCTTGAGGGACTACAGGCATCGCTCATTGTCATCCACTATCTGCCTAATCCCAGTCTCCATCCGTCGATATGTTCCCTGTTTTTACCTGGGACGATCATCAATCAGGCAAAAAATCTCATGCTGCACTGTATTGACTCGCCCCGCTGCCAAGAAGAGAGGGAAGCGAATGGATTCGACGCACTTGAGCTGGAATTGAAGAGACGACTTTGGTGGGACATTGCAAGTTTTGACTGGTAAGCTTTAGTCATGCGATGCGATAAATTGGGGCTAATTCTTTCTGCAGGCTGTTAGGTTTCTTGAGCGGTCCCCAGGAGTGGACATATTTGATTAACCCCCGGCTCATGAATGTCCGGGAACCTTTGAATATTGATGATGAAGGCATCCAGGGCACAGCAGTTGCCACACCCTCCCCAATGTCAGAGCCAACCCAGATGTCCTTCACTCTTCAGCGACTCAACCTGGCAGTCGTATGTCGCGAAATAGTGGACATGACTGCCTACGAACACATGCATGGAGTTGACGTAGGCTACGACAAAATCCTCGAGTTGGACCGCAAGCTCCATCAAGCGTATAACGATCTTCCGGAATTCTATCGGCTCGATACTATTTCCAGGCGTCGCTTCGCACCTCTCTATCGGAGCCAGCCGAAGATCGCATGGCAGAGGTGTCTTTTGCAGCAAGCTTATCATTCGCGTTTCTGTCGGCTCCACCGTCTGTACTTTATCCGGGGAGCACGAGAGCCCGCGTATTCGTATTCCCATGTGATTTGCCTTCAGTCTGCGCGTAAAGTGCTGGAGATCAAGAGGATCATGGACGAGGACGAACCAAGGTTCATGCCGCCAACTTCTACTGTCTGGTCTGTGATGCATCACGTTTTCATGGCTGCGGTGATTCTTCTGATGGACGTCTGCTTCAATTGGGATGATCTTCTGGCTGATAAGAGAAAACAAGAGGTGCTTGATGCGTGTCGGATGCTTAGCAAGGCTCAACAATCATCGTCCTTGGTTAGCCAGGGTATCCAGGCCATGATGGACGTGCTGCAGAAACACTGGAAAAGTGGCAAGCACTCCTCCACCGATGGACAGCCTTCGAATCTACCATCGTCTCCTGCCTTGGGTGCTACCGCTGTTGCCGAACCAGCGCAAATCGCTCCTGGATTTTCTCCGCCTTATCAAGACTCGGCAAACACGATTGATAATAAAGATGCGTCCGTAGATCCCTCTTTTCTCATTGATCATAATGATAGTCAAGAGAGGCCCCTCGAAGATATATGGACGGAGATGCTTGACAGTGGCGGGGACTTGAATTTTGCAACACCAGACTGGACGGACTTGTTGACCGAATTGACAAATGCCACGCTGCCGTGTAGTTGATAACAGCTACCATGGATGCAGCCGTCGAATCCCGGCACCTGACTCCCTTTTGGGCGATGATGTATCTATTACAATCACCGCGCCATTAGTTCAACGCAGAACAACGCAGAAAAGATAGCTCAACCGTGCAAAGCCATGAAAACAACAACCAGCACGGTTGGGACCAAGATTGAGAATGCCGGAGAAATCCAACAACCTCCCTGTCACCAAACGCTACATCACCACCCACAGCACCGAGGGCGAGTCGGTGTTCATCTCCCACTCTCAAATCCCGGAATACATCCCTTCAAAGCCAATAAGCGATGATGGGTATATTGCTCTTCTCTACGCAACAGTAACCAATCCTGTTGCTGTGGACGACGAAAACGACGTCCAGGCTTACGATGAGTTCCTCCATACCTCTCCCGGCCTGACGACTCCGCTTGGCACGGTACTACGAACGATCGACCTGCGTCCGGGAAAGACGACTCCCATGCACCGAACGGTTAGCGTGGACTATGGAGTGGTTCTGGAGGGCGAGGTCGATTTGATCCTGGATTCTGGGCAGAGTCGGATATTGCGGCGTGGGGATGTGAGTATTCAGCGCGGAACGGCACATTCTTATAGGAATCGGAGCGACACAGAGTGGTGTCGGCTGTTGTTTGTCTTCTTGCCGATGCAGAAATTGAATATCAAGGGTCGAGATTTGGACCAGGAAGTCTATGATGAGCACTATGATAAGGAGAGTGGGAGTGAAGATGGATCGCAAGCGGGAAATGGAAAGGAAAAGACTTCTTGAGGATGGGATATATCATATAATAAATTCGTTCACTGTTGATAAGCTGCAAATCTGACTGCACCATACATCAAGTAGCGACGATCCTATGCTACTCGACGCTGATGTCTACCTTATTCTTGTCTGCCACCCAAAACCGTCAATTAAACCCGTCCAGTAGAACCGATGGGGTACAAGGGACTGACAGAAAGCAACATAGTCCTTGATATTCTTCGCGGCGTCATATGGCTGGGCATAATACCACGCCACATTTGGAATTGTTTGATCTATTGTACAGAAGCGGTCATTTTTCTGACACATAAAAGATGATATAACGACGCAAAGGGTGATACCTCCAACGGTTACCGTGTAGTACGAAGCGTCTCCCTTCCAAGGGCAATGAGTCGACAAGTCCGTTGGAGTGAAAAGAGACTTGTTTATAGCTGATGGTGGAAACTACAAGTGATAACAGATTAATACACATTTTCAGCTAAGTTTCTACTAATTTTGATCTTGATAATCTGAATTACTGGCAGGGAGACTTACATAGATATTGCCTTCAACTGTCTCCCAGTTGTCGGACTCGGCGAGAACGGTTCCATCGAGAGTTGCTCTGGCTCGGGGCATATTGAGATAGTTTCAGATGATTAGTGAGGAAGCCTAGAATTCAAGCAGAAGAATATGGTGAAGATGATGAAATGATGAAATGACAAAACTGACCTCTATCCTGGAAATGATCACAATAAAAGAAAGCAACAAGTGCGGGGAAACCATCAACCAACTGCAAGATGACAAATCCAATAAGAGGCAAAAACAGACAGAACAAACACAATTTAGCACTCACAGTGTCCCTGACACAATCTCCACTGTCCATCTTCACGCCTATTCTTCATAGGGTGATCACTCTTTCTTCCCCTTGCCAGGCGGAGGAGATGCGCTCGACCTGGGACTAAGCTCATAGTCCGAGTCGAAGTTGAATTTCTGGTCGTAGGGCCAGTCCAAGCACAGTTCTGGCTCGACATCATCGCCCCAGACCACTTCCTGACTGGCTTCTGGTCTCCAGTCTGCCAGGTCGAAGCCTTCCACCTTCTCGAGCATTCTGTCGAGCTGTGAAATGACCTCTCTCAACCGCCCGATACAGAGGGGCTTACTTGAGCCCTCAAGAGGGTCGCGACTCGAATCATGGTAGAACTTGCGATCGTCTGAGAGCAACCGCAATCCTTCCACAATTCTCGACGGCTTGGTCTCTTTGTTTGGCGGGGCTTCCATCAGCACTTCCATGTGAATGCGTATGTGGCGATCGCAGTCCTTATGGCAGATGGCTTTGCCATTCTTCTTGGCCTGTCTCAGGGGCGTGATGAGCTTCGACTGTATCAAAGAACGCATATCGCGCATCAGTTCGTGGCGTATCGCCAGGAGATGATCTATTCAGCCTGTTAGTCAACATGTCCAAGATTATGAGGAAACGAAAGAAGATAGAAATGGGTACTTACCGAACATGCTCTGGTCAATGAGTGTCCTAGACAAGTCAATATCCACTGCATTGCAATCGACGATAATGGACCGAGTTGCCTTCTTGAATTGTTCTTTCAGGTTGAACACCCACATGATTCCCAGAAGGTAACCCGCAAGCTCGGTACTGTTGCATTGGTCAACGAACATCCTTACATATTTGATCCAGGGGCGAGCCAGAGTACAAACAGCTGGGAACATGTCGAACATGTGCACATACTTGGCGACCTTGTGAAGCAGCTTCACATTCAGCTCATCCGGGATCCCTTGGAACTTCAAGTGCGCAGCTTTCATGATGATCAGCATGGCATCCGGATCGAGCCTGTCAAAGACCATCTCGCGCAGACCATCTGGCCGGACAGGCAGGGTCTCAAGCCACCTCCCACTCAAGCCTTTGAAGTAGATGGATTGGGATTTCAAGATGATAGTCGAGACTCGCAACTCGACAGGCCGGTTCGCATGTTTCTTGTAAAGCAGAATGAGATCGCCATCCGGGGCGATGTCATGGCGCTCTCGCTTGACCTGGTCAATCTCCATGGCGCTCATAGTGGTTCTGTAAGTCGCTAGTTGCGAAGTTTTATTTGGTGTGTAGGATGGTTGAATAAGGAGAAGTGATGAGAAAGATGCGATTGGGGAAAGAAGAATGGTTGATGAGTTCCATCTCGACGCAGGCTCCCATCTCCTTATATACCCTTCTGTATAAAGAGCTTCTCTGATGTCTAAGACACCTCACCTGTCATTACCAAAATGTCTTGAGGACAGTTGTTGCGTTGCAGATGATGACAAGGATTGATAGAAATAAGAGACAGATTTGCAACCTGATGTCTTTTGAGAGTGTCATATGCAGGCAAGACAATGCTCAAGTCTCATTGTTCAGCCAAGTTCCTTGAGCTCTTTGTTAGTTGATTTGGTGTTTCGAATTTGGTGAGACACCCCATTTTCATTACTTCACTCGACCACTGAAAGCAAGGAGTCCTCATTGTAGATAGCAGATCAAGATAAAGCGGATTGATCAAAGAGCCTCAGTGATATAGTCTTTATGAATCGCGCTGCCATTGTTCTTTGGATGAGCCCTAAGGATTCTGTCTTCCCCTTTCAGAAGCCTCGGTGTAATTTATAACAGTGTCATACCGTATCGTTGTATGTCTCCACTGCGGAAATCCTCCCGCCATGAAGGGATCGAGGACTTCCGCTGCCTTTTTCTTTTCAAAATCTCTCCCCTTTCCTACTTCCCAAATACTCAGAACGAACTGACTATAGGCTCTCTGTGTATCAGAGACGTCCTGACTTTGTGTCTGTTAATCAAATCCTCAACCTCCCTGCCTCAGTCGCCCTATTCTGCCCTCAAACTTGGGACTTTGCTCGGAAAACTCGGAACTTCCTACTGAACTCTCTTGCAGCAGTACAGATGGATCGCGAGCAATTCAGGGTCGCTGCGCATGCGGCGATCGACGAAAGTGCGTTGTTTGCCTTGTGATCTTCAAGTCCGTGCTAAAAATCGCATCTAATAGTCATCGACTACTTCGACGGTCTCCCCTCCCAGCGCGTGGTTCCAACCATTGAACCAGGTTACCTTCGCCCATTGATTCCCGAGAACCCTCCGGAAGAGCCAGAGCAATGGTCCCAAATCCAGGCAGACATTGAAACGAAAATTAAGCCCGGCCTGACTCACTGGCAATCTCCCAACTTCATGGCTTTCTTCCCCGCGGGTGTGACGTACCCCAGCATCTTGGGTGAGATGTACTCAGCCGCTTTCACCGCCCCTGCTTTCAACTGGCTCTGTTCCCCGGCATGTACCGAACTGGAGACGATCGTGATGGATTGGATGGCCAAGGCATTGGGTCTTCCTGAATGCTTCTTTAGCAGCTCGGAAAACAAAGGAGGTGGTGTCATCCAAGTCACTGCTAGCGATGCAGTCGCAACGGTGATGATCGCCGCTCGTGAGAGGAGGGTGCGCGAACAGGCCTTGGCCGAGGGTCTTAAGGACGGAACCGCCGAGTACGAGGATCGAGTGATGGAGCTGAGGCCGAGACTGGTGGCACTGGGAAGTAACCAGGCACACAGCAGCACCGCAAAAGGCGCACTGCTTGCTGGAACGAGGTATCGCAGTGTCACTGCGCGGCTAGAGGACAATATGGAAATGACTGGGCCACGTTTGCGAGAGGTACTCGAGCAGTGCGATAAGGATGGGCTCACCCCTTACTACATCACGCTTGGCATGGGTACGACCAACACTTGCGCGTTGGATCGGTTTGCGGAGATCAAGGCTGTGCTGAAGGAGAAGCCGCATTGGCAGAGAATCTGGGTACATATTGACGCTGCCTATGCCGGTGCTGCGCTTGTTGCGGATGAGTGGCAGTATATTGCCAAGGACTTTGCGGAAGGCGTTGACAGTTTCAACATGAACATGCACAAGTGGTTGCTTGTGAACTTTGACGCAAGGTACTACCAAGCCTCTCGTTTGAATATGGAATTGCTAACGTGAACAGCTGCCTATATGTACGCAACCGCTTTGACCTCACAGACGCCCTCGACATCACTCCTGCCTACTTGCGCAACCCCTACTCCGAGACTGGCCAGGTCATCGACTACCGCAACTGGTCCATTTCTCTTGGTCGGCGATTCCGCGCGTTGAAGATTTGGTTTGTCATGCGCAGCTATGGCCTCAGCGGCATGAAAGCCTACATTCGCAAGACCATTGGACTCGGTAACATCTTTGCCGACCTGGTGCGCAGCCGATCGGATCTATTTGAGATCATCACCAAACCTGCATTCTGCTTGACTGTCTTCCGAATCAAAAGCCCGCAACTTCAATCAAATAATGAGTCCCCAGTTCCTCAGATTGACGAGGCTTCGAACGCTATAACCAAGGAGGTGTACGAGCTCGTCAACTCCCGGGGTGAGATCTTCATCACCTCGTCTGTCATTGCGGGTATATACGCGATCAGGGTGGTAAGCGCCAACCCTGCGGCCGAGGAGAAGTATCTCCGGCGCGCTTTTGAGATTCTGGTCCAAACGACCGAGGAGGTGTGCCAGAAGCAGCAGTAATGGCCAGGCTTCACAGCCCTTATGAACACTGCAGTCACGATCTAACGCCACCAGTCACGCACAACATATAGCAGCATCAACATATATATACAGTGGATGTCCCTGACCTTTCACGATGTTGGTTACTATGCATTAGAATTAATTCTGCTCAATTAGATTTATTCCCACGATCTTCCCTGCTTCGGAGTACTAGTATGTCCTGAATCTTCATTTTGTCGGAATCTCGGAACAGCTCCGAGCGCAACGACCGAGCGACTATCGGAGAAGCCCCGCCTGTTCCCCGCATTGATCATACAAAGGGCGCGATGCGACAGATTCATGGATCAGATCGTTTATTAGAATTCAGGGTAACGGTAATACGTACAAGGGAGTTGACTGAATATCATGTCTATGCAGCTGCCATCGTAAGTATACCTGATTTTGCGAAGCTCAGCCCACTCTGGAGACATGTCGCTGAGAAGCCCAGACGAGTGTTAGTGACAGGGGCCACTGGCTTCATTGGTGCCCATGTGGTAGATAGCCTGTTGGCTCGAGGCATTGCCGTGCGCGGAGCGACACGGTCATTGTCGAAGGGCGAGCAGATGATAGCTGCTCGGCCGGAACATGCCTCGAAGCTTGAGTTTGTTCAAATCGAGGATTTTTGCAAACTGGGGGTGTTTGACCATGTCATGGGAGGGGTTGACGCGGTCGTTCACGTTGCCAGTGTATGTTTGTCACCATGCCTTACTCTACACAAAATTGTTGACCAAGAATCGCTAGCCATTTACCTATAATACCACAAACAATGAGCAGGAGCTCATCATCCCCGCCATCAACGGCGTCAAATCAATCCTCGCCGCTTCCGCCAAACCGGGAAGCAGAGTCAAACGAGTGGTATTGACGTCCTCATTCGCCTCCGTCATCGACATATCCAAGAACCCAGGGCCGGATTTCACCTACACCGGCGCCCACTGGAACCCAATCACTTACGAAGAAAGCGTCGACCCTTTCACCAACGCCGTAACAGCATACCGAGGCTCGAAGAAGTTTGCTGAGCTCGAAGCCTGGACCTTCGTCGAAAGAGAGAAGCCCGCTTTCGACCTCGTCACTCTCTGTCCTCCAATGGTGTTCGGGCCTATCGTACATCCCGTGGCCAGCGTTGCGCAGCTGAATGAATCCAACGCTGTTTTGTGGAGCGTTGCGGCCGGTGCTGATCCGCTACCTGCTGCGAGAGTATCTGCCTGGGTTGACGTGAGAGATCTCGCCGACGTGCATGTCCAGGCATTATTGATACCGGAAGCTGGCGGGAAGAGATACGTCCCTGCGTCCGGGGAGCCGTTTTGCTACGAATATGCCGCCGATATCATCAAGGAGAAGTTCGAGTGGGCGCGTGCAACAGTGACTACGAACTACGAGGCCGGGAAGAGGCCTGGGCCGACATACAAGCTAGATGGGGAGACAGTGGCTCGAGACTTGGGAGTGAAATACCGCAGCTTTGAGAAGACGGTCGAAGAGCTCGTTAGACAGGTGAAGGAGACAATCGCAAAGTAACTGCCAATCTGAGTCTTCCAATCCTCTCCTCAATCATCCGCAATCGCATCTACCTCTACCTCAACCATCATATCCCCATTCACAAACCCATTCTGCACCACGATCATCGTCGCCGCAGCACCAACCCCATTGCCCTGCTGCTTCCCCAGCACTTCCCGGAATCCCTCGCCAACCGCCATGCAATCCTCCGAGCGCGCAACGAACATTTTGACGCGCACAATGCTGCTTGCTCCCGCGCCCCCGAGCTCTTTAACCGCCTTGACACTCTCCCTCAAAGCGACGATGGTCTGCTGCTTTGCATCGCCGGGGAATAAGATCTGGGGAGCGGAGGCGGGGGATCGAGGGTCTACAGCTGTGGTTCCGGCGACAAAGATCTGATTTCCATGGCGGACGGCGCGGTAGTAGCCGATTATGTCTTCATAGGGGGAGGATGTTGCATAGAATTGTTTCTTGCCGTTTGGGGAAGTGGTCACGGTCGAGGACATGGTGGAAGATTATGGTTGATCTTTTGTGAATAGTGATATTAAGATGATTAGGGATGTGATGAGGGATTTTATAAAAAGTCTGTCTTTGCTTTATACATGTTGGTAGGGAGTGGTGTTGCCGAAGTAAATGAGTCATCGGAAGGCCGTCAAAGACCTCGCGACTAGCTTGTGGCTTCGGAGTACGCCGAAATGGGAGACTGATAAAGCTGATTGGACTCTTTCTGCATTTAATTACTCTGGGGATATGAGAATCACTGGACGAATGTCAATCTATGAAATCATGCTAGTGCGAGCAAGCCATAGTACATCGGGTATCCAACAATGATAACAATGCATCAGTTCTTCCCCTCCCCCAGAAACCACTCAAAAACACTACGAAACACTTCCTTCCCCCCTTCCTCAATGACATCCTCATGACACGGAATCACACGGTCAAAATCCCAACTATGGATCCTCCTAACCGACTCCGTGAACGACACCCTATCCGGCTTCGACAGAGCATACCACGCAAACCGCCGATGCCACGTCGGCGGACTCGCCCTGGCCGCAAGCAACGGCATAAACAACCGATTCAGCAGCCCAGCCGTCGGCGACTCCTCCGAGCACGCATACTGCTCCGTACACGGGCTATTAAACAGCAGATCCGCCTCGATCAGCGTCCGCGACGGTTTATGGCAGAGGACGATCTCGCGGTTCCCGTGGCCGTCCATATACTCGACCTCGAAGTCTGCGTGGAACTCGTCCGAGATCCTCAGCGAATGTTTGCTGTGCTTGTGAAGACGTGGTCGAAGGCGGCGTCGTCGTCGTAGGCCGGTGAGCTCTGGCGTTTCTCGTAGATGCCCTCTGGAGCGATGGTTTTGGCGTCGGGGAAGGCGCGCTTCCATGTGGAGATGTGCAGGTGGTGCTCGATGTCTGGGGCGACGATGTATTGTACGTTTCCGCCTTCGGAGGTAATGAGTTTTTGGACTTCGGGGGTTAATGCTACTGGGGAGATGATTGCGAGGGAGCCGGTGCGTAGTTTGACTGGGGGTTTGTTAGTGCTGAGATTCTTCAGTGGATGTGTGGGTGTCTTACCGAGTGTGCCTCTGCCTCCGAATCGCAAGAGCCCAAATCGTGAAAAGGGGACGCTGAATGTGGTGATTTCCGGGGTGACTTTGCGGATCACCATGACCTTGGACGGGTCTCCGGGGAATAGTTTTGATGACATGTCTGAAATGTAGTCAGTTGGCCCAATGGAACAAAGAAGTATGCTTCTGCTTGTCTTCGAAAGTGCTGCAGGAAACAAAGTACTTATATTGCTAGATCGGGATGCCGAGGTAGCTATACAATGTCGACAAAGTAGTAGCGAGGGCAGTATGTAATAGCGACGGTCTAGACCTGCATGACAAACACATCGGAAAAGCCGAATAAGCTTAAAAAGTCCTGAAGTATTGCTGGAATTTGTCATCGCGGAAAATGACTCCACTGCCTATCTCAGCACGACTTGCTGTGCATTGATTTGATGCTGCTCATAATGCAATGAATGCGTACATAAATGATCAAGCTAAATCTGGAGCCCATTCCACATGCGCATCCTTCCAGATGCCTGCGAAGCACAGGCAAAATCTGATCAAAAGCTGGAATCACCGAGTATTCCGTCGCAAGCTGAGCTGATACTGTGGTATGCAGAGAACAGCATGCTTTGTTCATGGTGCCCAGTTTGACAATCATTGTCGCAGCGACTTCTCGGTGAATTCAGCATACAACTTGTAAAGTGTCAGCGCAGGTGCTCGGTCGCCTATGCTTCCCAATGTAGTATAGCGCGATTCACTACACCACCTCTATGTTCTTCTGCTCTCTTGATAGCTTCCTAGATAGTATCATTAATATAATAAGTATTCTCTTATCTTATCTTTCTCCTGTTTCTATAGGTTATAAGCCCTCATAGCTTCTACAGGGTATCTTACCTTCTTCCCTATATCTAATCCATTATTTTTACACGCCTTCTTATGGGTCCAGCACCTAAGAAACAGCTAAGAAAAATTCTTATTCATCAGATCTGTACTGACCTATCTCCCTACCTGTGGATCTGTACTGCATCTTTCCACTTATAATAATATCTCTATTAGATCTAGGCCTTAAGGGTCTGTCTGATTTGTTAGTTTACATATAGCCTATAACTTACTCTAGGCTAGCAAAGTTAATATAGATATTAATATTAAACCCCATAAGGTTATGCCTACCTTAAAAGGTAAATCTAACTACATAGTGTAGCTTAAATACCTCTAGGGATACCTTTATAGTAGAAATATAAACTACTAGAAACTACTATAATATTAGTATACTACACCTCCCACACCTACCTACTATAATAATGAGTGAGATCACATTTATCCAAGCCTTTTATATACTTATAAGGAGGAGAGGGCTGCTAAGCTATAATATAGAGCTACTTATAAGGGTAAGTAAGCTGCTGGCTCCTTAGTATAAGTAATAGATACTTCTAGCTCCTTAGCACTAATAATAGGTGCTAGGGGCCCTGCTGCCCCTCTAACTCAGGCCTTTATAGACCTAATAAAGATAATAAACTTCCCTCCCTTATAATCACAGAGCTTGACATTAATGATGCTATTTATAAATATAATATATATAATAAGTAGATATCTAACCACTATAAAGACATAAAGGAGGCCTTTATATGCCTGAATTACCAGGTTCTTATAATACTCTATATTATGATTAATAACACTACTAAGGTGTATATTAGTGGCCTAAGTAATACTATTCTTACCTTTAAGAAGTTAAAAAGCCTATATAAGCATTCTAGATGTAATAGCCTATTTCTCCTATAGCAGAAGATTAGAGGTATTAAGTATAACCCTAAGGGTAATTATAATACCTTCCTATAGAAGTAGTAAGCCACCATTATAAAGATATATACTCTGGGTAAGCTACCTATTAGATAGAATACTACCTCTTCTTATAATTAATTAAGGGCGTACCACACCTAGATAATTTTATTATAAATATAGAATTAATGAAGGCAGGCTAGTAAATTACTCTATCTAATATATATATATAGTTCTAGTACTTTAAATTTAAATGTTATACTATAGGTATTAGCAAATAGTTAACTACTAATAATTTAAACCAGCTATCTATAAATACTATGTAAGGGGGGTGTACCTTATAGTGTGGCTGTAGTAGTAGAAATTAGTTAAATACCTCTTAATTAAATTAGTTAAATACTACTAATTCTTCTAATAAAGATGTAGGTGTTACAGGCTAGGCCGTAGAAAACCTATGACTAGGTATGTACAATAAGAACTCGCTGAAGAACTAGAATAGGGGGGTCTGCGGGCCTGGGTAGAAATATCCGATTGTGCACGTGACTTGGACCGTTAGTCCATAAATTACTTCATATCGCGAGTGCTGGGCAGCACGAGCATATCGCGGGCCCTGCTCGCAACAGTAGGGGTAATCTAGTGCTATTATTATAGTAAGTTTAGTAGCTACCTTCTATCTATTTATTAACTAAAGAATACCAGTTCTAATCCTTTAACTACTAATTCTATGCAAAGAGGAAATTAGTAAGGGAGAGGCTATAGACATAGTGGATTTAGTACTAATACTATATCTTATTTAACTAATAATAAGCAAGAGAAGGAAGCAAACCACCTCTTACTTAATGATGATTTACTATTCTATAATAATGTAGGCCTATCTTACCAGCAGATCTAATATAAAGAATTAGCTATGGTCAACTATGATTCTCTATGTGATGACCCTGCGCGCAGCACCGCGCTTGACTCTGTAGTCTCTGATGTAGTCTCCCTTTGCACGGAGTTAGCTGCATTAGGAAGGGAAGGGCTCAGGGCTCAGGGCTAGGGTTGGTGGAGGTCTCATACCACCCACCACCACCTTCGGTCTGTCACACCCTGGGATCCGTCTCTGCTGTTCTCTGCTAGTCAACTACTTTGGGAAGGGGTGATATAGTCCCTGGACTATATCCAATACTTGCCTGAGGCCTACCGACCAGGTAGCCTGACGATGCAATGATACAATGACCGAGCAGGATCAAGGACAACCCGAAGATAACACAAGAACAATAACAGTAGAGATAGAAGCAAGGCCTATTGAGTACGTATACTCAATAGTAAGAGAGTAACTGACGAATCGGACTAGTGAACTTGTACTCAAGTGAGTTATTGTTATTGAACGCGAGGAACTAAACTAAGAGTGCTAGATACAATGGTAATGAGTGTCCTTATATAGTTCCTCCTTTCCAGTCCATACCTTGAGGCTATCGTGAGGTCCCATCATGGACTGTTTGTTCGTGGTCCATGGTGGTGTTATATGATCATGGTCCCTTATGGACCGTTACCTGTTCTTGGCATCAGGGACCGTTAGTCACGTGACTTAGCCGCCCCCCTTGTCTCGAGCCTGGTTGTCCGTCAGACTGCGCTGTCTTTTCTCGTAAGCCTCATCCAACCATTTCGTGTTGACTGTAGATGTTCCATAACACGGTCCTCTCACCTTCTCCCTTCCCTCTCCACCTTTGTTCTTCTCGTGATAGGACTCAAACAAGAAATGATTACGTTCGTCTTTTCTGCCTGATCTGCCGGTTATCACAAATATTATTACTATATTCTTACACACATAGCTTAAAGAATCTATCTATATTAATCTACCTAATAGCCTTAAGCAGGCTAGAAAGTATACTCTACTTATAAAGACCCTTTATAGGCTAAAATAGTTACTATATAAGTAGTATAGCTTAATGCATAACTTTCTTATATCTATTAGATATAAATAAACCTATACTAACCACTATATCTATATAAAGTAAGGCATTACCTTACTAGTATATATAGATAATATACTAATTCTTTCTTAATTAAAACCTTCTATTAATGACTTCCTGGCCTCCCTTAGCAAATTATTTAAATACATAGATAATGGGGAGGTTACCATATACCTAGGAGTTAATATCATATGATAGAAGGAAGGAATCTATCTTACCTAAGCTAATTATATTAAGAAGATACTATACTGCTTTAGCATAATAACCTATATATATGCCTATATACCTTTTAATAATAAAGAGCCTATTATACTATATAACTAGATGGCTACTAATGCTAAGGTAAAGCTATATTAGGAGATGATTAGTTTACTTACCTAGCTTATACTAGGCATGCAGCCTAATATTATGTTTACTATCTCCTACCTTACTAGATTAGCTAAGAACCCAGGTCTAGCATGTTACGGGCTAGACCGTAGGAAAACCTATGACTAGGTATGTACAATAAGAACTCGCTGAAGGACTAGAATAGGGGGTTGCAGGCCTGGATAGAAATATCCGATTGCGCGTCGCAGCTAGCGAGGTGTCACGTGACCTGGGTGGTTAGTACATAGATTATTATGTTGTCACGTGACCCAGAGCTGTATGGCTTCGCGAGTGCCTGCTAGGCGGCACGAGCATATCACGGGCCTTGCTCGCAACATAGCATACTTCTCTGTAGTTAAATATATGCTATATTACCTTATAGCTACTATATCTCTATTAATCTTTTATCCATCTAATATCAGTAATCTTAATAACTTTACTAATACTAATTAGGCTGGGCCTTATACTTAGCAGGCTATTTTAATATCTAGATATATCTCTATGCTTAGGAATTCACCTATCTCCTAGTATTTAAAATGCCAGCAGAGTATTATACTTTCTTCTACTAAAAGTAAGTATATTATAATATCCCTTACTACACAGGAGGTAATATAGCTTATACTTCTACTATTAGAACTATCTATTTTTAATAGCATTCTGCTTTCTCATCTAATAATTATTTATATGGATAACTAGGGGGTATTAGCTCTATTAAAGAACATAGAATATCACACCTGCACTAAACACATTAATATATAATATTATTTTCTGTGTTAAGAAGTTGCAGCTAGCAAGATTAAATTCATCCATATTGTCACAGGCTACGCCTGGATGTTGCTTGGCTTCGGCCTGCGCGTCGTGTTCCTCACGTGACTGTTGTTGACATCACGTGACTCTCTTTGTCTGTTCTGTCAGGATTCCATCCCGTTTAGGTTTAGCGTCCCGACTTAGTCAGCCTATATATAGTTGGCCCCTGAGCCATCCTAATTGGACACTTGGCGCTTCCCGATTCTCTCAGGTTATGGCCCTATGT